TTGTGTGTGCGGGGGGGGGGGGGGTGGTGTGTTCTCAGCAGGTGGGGTCAGGGGAGAGCTCACCCTGGCAGGTGTTCTCACTCGCGTTCATGAACTTGGCTTTCCCAGAGCTGGGCTCGTAGCCATTGATGCAGCTGCAGTAGTAACTCCCAGGCACGTTCTTGCAGTTTGCGTTGGGTCCACAGTCTGGCGGGCTCGGCCCCAGACACTCGTTAATATCTGTAATGCAAGAGGGGACGCTCTGTACAGTCCTGGCAGGGAGACGTTCCCTGTATCACCCCTCAGCCCCAGCCCCCCGCACTGAGCTGGGTGACGGGATCCAGGCGACCGGGGCCCTGAGTGGTTAGTGATTACGGCCCTGATCCTCAGTTACCCATTTCTGCTGCTGGAATGTCGGAAACAGCCCCATGAGCCTCCTGTCCCAGGTACAGGGGGGTTCGGCCCCACAAACACCCAGATCCCCCATGTGAGAGGAGGGGGTGAGACGTCCCCTTGGGGCTCCAGGCTCCCTATGTGTTGCGGGGGGGGTGACAAGCTGCCTCTCCTCTGCCCCCTCCCTCCTTGGATCCCTGCGGGCTGGGGTGGGGGAGTATATCCAGGGCTGCCTCGTTCTGCTCCTGTGGGGCCCCTCTGCCCCAGGACACCCAGGGGCTGATTAGGGCCCAGGCTGGGGTTCAGACGGGTCAGTGTGATGGGCCCCCCCACCCTGTGCCCAATCCACAAAGCCCAACGCTCCTGGCTTATTCCTGCAGCCGCTCCTGCTGCTCACTCTGGAGGCCCCGGTTCGATCCCCAGGAGGGCGGCGCTCACCCGTGCTGCTGCCCCCCCTCATTCCCCAGCCGGGCTGAGCCCCCCCAACAGGCCCTGCAGTCAGTGGAGTTGGCTGCTCCGGCCCTTAATGCCCTGCTCTGTCCCAGCCCCCTCAGGACAACGTGGGAGCCCCGTTACCATCACAGATCTCCGTTGGGTCGGTGAAGAAGACGGGGTGATTCCCACTTGTCTGGTATCCATCCAGGCAGGTGCAGTGGGTGTTGTTCACACACGTGGCGTTTGCTGGGCATAGCACATGATTGTTGCAGTCCTCAGTGGTACCTGCAGGGGTGGGAACAGCTGGGCAGGGTCAGCCAGTGCAGAGCGGCCTCCCCCCCCCCCCCACCACACACAGTGGGATTGACTCCTTTCACACGCCCCATTCACTGATTTTCAACCCTGGGCGCCTGGCAAACAGCTCCGATGCCATCCACCGCCTGGCAACAAGCTGCCCTCGGCTGCACAGGGGCCTTGGCTCCCCGGGGAGCCCCCGGCACAGACAGGCAGAGCCGCCGGAGCCGGGCATCGGTTCAAGTGAAACGTTTTCAATCTCACCCAATTTTTCTCCTCTTTGTTGCTGTCATTGTTAGTCTCGTTAGCGTCAATTTCAAACCCAAACCTCATTTCGAACCGGAAAACGGGAATTGTTCGTTTTGAAAATTATTTCATCTCTCCCCCCCGGGCAATTTTTTCCCAGGTAAAACCAAACATTCCTCTGAACCGAATCGGCATTTTCTGGCAAAAAATGGTTCCTTTGGAAATTCCTGCCCGGCTCTGCTCTGGATTGACTGAGAGCGGAGTCGGGCGTGAGGCTAGTTTGGATCCTGAGCTGCCTCCCAGGACCCAGACTGTGACCTGCCTACGGGGGCTCCTGGATCCTTTAGCTGCCCGGTGTCTGGGGCTCCGCTGGGATCCGTCCCTCTGGCCAGCGTGAGGGGAAGGATCCCAGCGCAGCTTAGCCGGCTGCAGGGTTGGGACGGGAGCAGACGGAGCGGGGTGGGTGCAGCACTGGGGGACCCCAGTGGGTCAAAGGGAATTTGCCCCAATCCCATCTTCGGGTTCGCAGCAGAGCTGGGCTCTGGGCGCAGAGTCCAGATCCCAAACACCCCCCAGCTGGGCATGTGGGTCCCAGGTTTCAGTTCAGCCTGATTTTAGAGTGGGGGGGGCACCTACAAATAGCCACTTCTAACGTCTGAGCCATCAGGGGTTTGATTCGGGCTGGTCAATAACACGGCCCTTGGCTACAAAGGGGATCTGCCCCTCACTCCAGCCCCCAGTGTAGAGCTCTCGGCCCCAGTGTCTATTCTCTGCTGGCCACGGTGCTGGGAAGGGAAGGGGAGGGCTACACAGGGGCCTTCTCCTCTCCCGTGCACGCACCTACCGTGCTCTATAAACCCACCCCAAGACGTCCACGCCCAGGGGCTGCTCTAGGCTCGCCAGACCCGACTCTGCTCTCCTCCCACAAGGGAAAGGGACCGGAGGGGGCGGAGGCCGGAGACCCTGGGCAGCTGGGAGAGCTGGGGAAGGTTAGCCAGGAGGAGTCAGACTTACCTTGTGTGCCGTTATTCTGGGCCACGGTGCCCCCCAGGCACAGGGCGATGCAGAGCCCTGGAAGGCAGAGACAGGGTAAGGCACCATGGGCAGATGGTAACCGCCACTCAGCTGCACACACCCCCAGCCACCCCCGTCCTGCCAATCCCGGGCCAATGGGCCAGTCAGTGCCCTGCCGATGGTGGAATTAAAGATGCAGAAACCTGGTGCTCTGGGAAATCAGCCCCAGCTGGGATCCCTGCTAATATTTTTAACTGGTTCTAGTTGGGAACTGGACTTTTGGCCAGAGCAACTGGGTCTTTATTGTGTGTATTAGCAACAAAGACCAGGAGCCTGCGTTGTCAGGGCCGGTTTTATACTTAGGGCGCCCCTAGACACAGGGGCTCGGGGGTCTCCCTGCTCTCCGGCTTGGAGCTCTGGGGGCCCTGCCACCTGGAGGTGGCCAGAAGCTGCAGGGTACCCCTGCTGCCCGGAAGCTCTTAACCACCACGAGTGCCAGGAGACATCCATCACTTTTAGGTGCCCTGCCACCCAGCACCCCTCTGCCCACTGCCCAGAGCTCCCCCATGATCTCCCCCAGAGACCCACTCTCCCAAGCCCTGCCCCCGGCCCCCAGGAGGTGACGCTGTCTGC